TTTTGTCAGTGCTCTGAATTGTGAGGATGAACAAATAGTGCCAAATAATCTCTCAACTTTGTCTGTAACTCTGTTTCATTCCATGGCATTTTTATTTTTTCCAACTCTGTTGTCTGTAACCTGTTGTTTGTATTCTGTAACTCTCATTCATTCCATTTTAACTCTGTTTTTTTTCGGTTTTTGTTCGGTAAACCGAAACGGAACCTTTTTTTTTTGTAACTGAAAATCGGTTACCGAATCCTTATATAGTGAAACCGAATGTGTTCTATTCGGTATCGGTATGAAGTTATCGGTTCGGTTACGGAATCGTACCAGCCCTAGTTTTTTTTCCTGCGGGTGCGGGTTGCTTTTAATGGATTTATCTACTTACAACTTGTAAGAATCTTCGTAAAAACTTATCGATCATATTCATTACAAGGGATGAGAATAACGGGTCAATAGCTTAACCATTAAATGAGGATATTGGAAGAGTCTAATGATGTACATTGCCATTAAATTATCAAGCATCTAAATATTTGAGTATGTGTCTAGGATATCATGAGGTACAACTGCTGAATTCTTCCGTTGTTGTCAAAGCAAAGATTATAACTAGATTTACATGGATTTGTATATTATTTTAAAATAGTATGATATTAAATTTGTTTTACCCACCAAATCTAGAAATTATCTTTAGCATTCAGTTGAAAAGCATTAACATGACAAAGGGGTTGGATTTTTTTTTATAGTCATTGTTAGAAGCACTTATTAAAGCAAAGTCCAATGATGTAATTGTTACACCTTCTATTATTCAATCATCAATTTAATGCATCTTTTTTTTTTTTTTTACGAAACGATAGAATCAATTTAATGTTTCACTTGGTCGAATGTATTTATATTCTATTATTCAGCATTACATTGAATCGTATGCGTTTACCTTCTATAATTTTTTGATATATTTTTATGTTAAGTGTTTGATATTCTTTTCGGTTTTGCTATGAAGCCAACAGTAGGCTCCATAGTGGAGCCAACCTTCTATATACAACAAATAAAACCTACCATATTCGCTGATTACTTAAATAACACTAATATAATTTTATTAATATGGTAGGTTTACTTGTTGTATTTAGAAGGTTGGCTTCAGTGTGGAGCCAACTGTTGGCTTTATAGCAAAACCGGTGAACGGTATTAGTGTTATATTGGACTTTTGGTTTGGTGTCTTTTTTGGGGGTTTCAATGTTTTTTTTTTCTTTGGTAGTCTATAGATATATGAACAATTATACGTTTAACCAACACTAAATTTTCACTTATGGGGGTTTTCAATGTCTTTTTTTTTTTTTTTTTTTGTTTATAGATATATAAACAATTATACGTTTAATCACTACTAAATTGTCACTTGGTTAACGACTAATTTGGACCTGTGCGTGCACAGCCGAAATCCAACAAGTAATAAAATATAAAAAAATACTAACATGCGACATCAATATGAAACACAAATGCAAGTGGATTAAAAGATATATTAAAATTTATGGATGTTTCTTCTTTATAATTTAACAAGAACTAAAATTCATTTAGAAATATTTTGCTAACCCTCTACATCTTGCTTATGTATTCATAGGGAGCTGAATTCAAGGTACTATAAAAAAATAAAAAAATAAAGATATCGATAAGAATCTTATGGAGGAAAAAATTTATGTTATAAAAATTTACCATTTTGAAGAGTGGAAATAGGGTACTATAAAACAACTACAACTAATTATCATTTTTTCTTCACGGGCGCAATTTGTCAATTGAAATTGAGGATGTGAAATTTCCTGATCACACTTATAGTTTTAACCCCTCCTCGGAATTGATTCTTGAACAAATTTGTGACACTCTTCTCATCGGTTAGTATATTTAAATTTATCTTATTTTCTTTTATGAGATTTGATGTTATACTATGTGGCACTTCTTTTGACTTTGTTTGTGAAATTAAAATTTGATATTTAAATTATTTAGTTTGATATATCATTTTTTTCTGCGGACGTCATTGGAAGGTTGACTGAGGTTGGTGAGGTGCAAAACAAGCACATTCGTGATTATTGAACCATATTTCCCGTGCAGCGCACGGGTGTAACACTAGTTAATAGATGCTAAACTTTATCATGTATCATAAGCAAGTAACCAACACAAATATATAAGGAGTGAATCGCATAAATTGAAATCATATATACTGCTACATAAATTACAGGAACATGAGTTGTATAGATACCTCATGGGAGTCCTCATTGAAGTCGTTGCACTATACAACAAGTGTCTCGAGGCATGGAGAAGATTCTAGAAGGGCTAGAATGTCTGGAATGCTATCCTCATCCTTCCAAGATTTATCAAAGAGTCTCACCTAGGCTGTGGAAATTGGTGGCTTTTAACACTAGTCTCGCTAGAACCTAACAACATACATCATGCAGAAAAAAGAAGAAAAAAACGATAAATATATTATAAATCTCAGGTGACTAACATATCAACTAAGTATAACTAACAATGTGTAATGGTAACCGATTTTCGGTTACCGAAATGTTATCGGTCCCGTATCGGTTCCGAACCCATAAGAGTTCTGTTTTACCGAACCGAACCGACAACAATATATATATATAAAATATAAATAAATACTTGGATAGGATATAAAATTAGTGGTCTAAAATCTTGGGTAGGATATTAAATTAAGTTAAATAATAAATTAGTGGTCTTAAATCTTAATTAATTTTTTTTTAAAAAAAAAAGGACGGATGTAAAAATCTTAGGTTGGACACGGCAAAACTTTAGAAACTCAGTTCTCAAACATTTCTATCGCCTCCTTCATCAGTTGAGAGTTCAGAATTTTAGATTGCCTCACACCTTCACGCACGGCTTCAAGCCTTCACCGACACACCTTCACGGCTTCACCGACTCACCTTCGCGTCATCCGCACCCCAGGTAATTATCTTCAATTTTGTTCTCATCTCATAGTCTTTAATTTTTCTCTCTTTATCAACTGTTTGTGAATTTGGAGTACAGAGGGAGAAATACATGGATTGCTGATTGGAGCTGGAAGAAGTTGAAGTATTGGAAAAGAGGCTAAGCTTTTGTCAGTGCTCTGAATTGTGAGGATGAAAAAATAGTGCCAAATAATCTCTCAACTTTGTCTGTAACTCTGTTTCATTCCATGGCATTTTTATTTTTTCCAACTCTGTTGTCTGTAACCTGTTGTTTGTATTCTGTAACTCTCATTCATTCCATTTTAACTCTTTTTTTTTCGGTTTTTGTTCGGTAAACCGAAACGGAACCTTTTTTTTGGTAACCGAAAATCGGTTACCGAATCCTTATATAGTGAAACCGAATGTGTTCTATTCGGTATCGGTATGAAGTTATCGGTTCGGTTACGGAATCGTACCAGCCCTAGTTTTTTTTCCTGCGGGTGCGGGTTGCTTTTAATGGATTTATCTACTTACAACTTGTAAGAATCTTCGTAAAAATTTATCGATCATATTCATTACAAGGGATGAGAATAACGGGTCAATAGCTTAACCATTAAAAGAGGATATTGGAAGAGTCTAATGATGTACATTGCCATTAAATTATCAAGCATGTAAATATTTGAGTATGTGTCTAGGATATCATGAGGTACAACTGCTGAATTCTTCCATTGTTGTCAAAGCAAAGATTATAACTAGATGTACATGGATTTGTATATTACTTTAAAATAGTATGATATTAAATTTGTTTTACCCACCAAATCTAGAAATTATCTTTAGCATTCAGTTGAAAAGCATTAACATGACAAAGGGGTTGGATTTTTTTTTTTATAGTCATTGTTAGAAGCACTTATTAAAGCAAAGTCCAATGATGTAATTGTTACACCTTCTATTATTCAATCATCAATTTAATGCATCTTTTTTTTTTTTTTTACGAAACGATAGAATCAATTTAATGTTTCACTTGGTCGAATGTATTTATATTCTATTACTCAGCATTACATTGAATCGTATGCGTTTACCTTCTATAATTTTTTGATATATTTTTATGTTAAGTGTTTGATATTCTTTTCGGTTTTGCTATGAAGCCAACAGTAGGCTCCATAGTGGAGCCAACCTTCTATATACAACAAATAAAACCTACCATATTCGCTGATTACTTAAATAACACTAATATAATTTTATTAATATGGTAGGTTTACTTGTTGTATTTAGAAGGTTGACTTCAGTGTGGAGCCAACTGTTGGCTTTATAGCAAAACCTGTGAACGGTATTAGTGTTATATTGGACTTTTGGTTTGGTGTCTTTTTTGGGGGTTTCAATGTTTTTTTTTTTCTTTGGTAGTCTATAGATATATGAACAATTATACGTTTAACCAACACTAAATTTTCACTTATGGGGGTTTTCAATGTCTTTTTTTTTTTTTTTTGTTTATAGATATATAAACAATTATACGTTTAATCAATACTAAATTTTCACTTGGTTAACGACTAATTTGGACCTGTGCGTGCACAGCCGAAATCCAACTAGTAATAAAATAAAAAAAATACTAACATGCGACATCAATATGAAACACAAATGCAAGTGGATTAAAAGATATATTAAAATTTATGGATGTTTCTTCTTTATAATTTAACAAGAACTAAAATTC